TTTATGAAAGATGAGAGCAAAGGGCATTTATACCCATTCAAAACTTTAGCAAAAACCTTAAGAAAAAGACCAAAAACCCATAAACAAACAAAAAAGAAAACTAGCCGTTACTGTGCAACGGCTCTCTGATAAGTCGACTTATGAGTCGACTCATGAGTTGGCTTATAAGTCGACTAATGAGTTGGCTTATATGAGTCGACCCAGCAGACGAAAAAACACAACTCTGCTGCACTTCATGAGTCGACTAAACGTGCACAGACCAGAAATGCACAGGAAAACAGAACTTTAAACCATGTTTAAAAATATCAAATAAATTCCAAGAAATATAAAACTTTGGAAAATGAATGTAGATATGATAATACACATGCTAAAATTTTTTTTTTTAAAAGGACCTCCCAAATAGAAAATATCATTATTTTGCAAAATAGTCCAAAACATGAAAATGTGATATACATGAATTTTGACATTTTAGCTTAACCATGTTTTAAAACATTATAAAATGATTATATAGACTTAATAAAAGATGTATATGATTGTTATTAAGTCCATAAACCAAGAAAATAGTATTTTCATAAAATTGCTTATTTTGCAAACTTTTCAAAACAATAAATATGATTTCATGAACTAAATAAAATTAATATTGATGAAATCATATATATGCATATAAGTATGAAACAAGAAATGTATTTTTAATTGTATTCATTTGTTTCATAAATATAAACTTGAAAACTGTAAAAACAAAACTTATATATATATAACTATATATATAAAAACCAAATACGTGTGTGTATATATGATTGAGCTTAAGGTACTCACACACATAACATAAAACCTAAACTAAATTACTCAAACTTGATCTTGATCTTCAATAAGCTTGACTTGGTACACTTTGCGGATGAAGCTAGAACTTGGATATTCAACTTGAATTGCATAGGCTTCACCTACTATTCTGCCAACCTCCATTTGATATGATCGTTAAAGCGCAATTCCATCCATCCTCCAACATGTTGTTTGTCTATAATTGATACAAAAATATAAACACTAGACAAACAACATTAGAAGTAAATTGTTTGTAAATCATCATCAAAACAAGAAGGCCAACACACTCTTCTCGATATCCTTTAACAGATTGAGACAGCAGGAGACTCAGGAAGGATAGAAGCTATCTGGAGAAGGATGAGAGCTGTGAGGCACTAGAGAAGTGAAGTAGTCAACTCTAGCCTTACATGCCAAAGCCACTTCGACCCTTCCCAAGAGGCCATGACGCTAGTTGTCAACCACCCTATTTTTATGCTGCTGTGAATCCAGATGAATGAGTTTGTCCTCCAGTTCCTTGACAAGGGCTACGGATGCTTGAAGCTGTGACTGTAGCTCCTCGAATCCTTCATCGACTTCTCGAGAGATAGGTGACTTGATCGAGCTTCTGCCTCAGCCGTCGCCTTACGATGCTTCTCGACTCGACCTCCGCCAATTGATGAACCATCTGCCTTTGAAGATCCTTGATAGTTCCCACCTATTTGGAGAACTAATTTTGAAAGCTCGTCAGGAGCTCTTCCTTCTTATCTAGACTCTGGCGCCAAACGCCTTCTTTATGAGCCAACTCGGCCTTCAAGGTAGTGACCCTCTTTTTTGCCTCTTCCTTGGCCAACTTCTCCTTTGCCAGCTCTGCTTTGCATTCCAGGGAATGCTCAAGTCGATTGAACATAGCTTGCTCCAGCAAAGTCCCCCAAGCTAAACAAGCTAGGAGGGCCTGATGTATGCCAAAACTTGGCATATCCTCCAAAATTCTCTCGCCAACACCATTCTCCATCTGGTCTGACAGAGTTCCAGCTCTCCCTTCGATGCTGTCGTCCACGCTAATCGGCTCCTTGCCAGGACAACGAGACGGCTCAGATATAGTACTAGGGCCAACAGCATCCTCCTCGACCTCTAAGGCCATTGTCTCCCTACCAGAAGAAGATTCATCTACCAGCCCTACATTTTCCAAGCGGTTAAGCTGAGTAACCAACAAACCCGTCCCAGCTGGCTGAGGCCCCTCAACCGGTCCGATTGGATGCCGTCTCTCGATCCTTATCCTCCCCCTTAATTCAGAAGCAATTTCGGCTGCTTGAGGTATCAAGAAAGCCACCTCCTTAGTTCTAAGAGCCTCCCTCAGCTTCTTATAAGGCTTGGCAGTGGAACTCAACCCCTCGGTGCCTGCGTTTCTCTTATGGTTTTCCACCAATAAAGGAACGAGGCTTGCCCTTGCCTGGAAGCCAGTGGAGGAAAAGATCATGGATATGCCCACCGTTTGAAGAGACACATCATCAAATAGAGCATCACTCTCACGTGGCCCGACATAAGAACAAACTTTTTGCAGGTCCATCATCTCGGAATCACTAAGGGTGGCTGGCCTTAAAGTGTCTTCATTTGCCTCCGGTTAGATATAAAAAATATTCCTTTAAATCTAACTATTATTACCAGTTTCTCTTGACTTTTAATTATAAAAATCCAACCCGTTTGGACCTAGTTGACCTATTAAAACGTGAAAACCCATATCCATTAAAAACTTTTTTCTCTAACAGATATCATCTTTACTCTAACTCAATTTTGACGGCTCTTTCTCCTCTTAGCCTTATAAAAACTCCAAGAGAACTTTATCCAAACTGTTGATGGGTAATATGATCACACACACAGTAGCCTCATTCAAGAACCAGACATAAAATCAGTGAAGAAAGCGGCCCCTCTTCAATATTGAACAAACTGATCCTATCCTGATGGGTATATGATCACACACAAACTATTTTCATCCGTTTCTTTAGTGATTAAATCTCATCTAGCTCCTCTCAAATTCATTAATGATGTTTGTAGACTCAAGTTCATCCGTAAATGAAGCCAAAAGTAGTAGAGGTCCTCGGATCTGCTAGCATAAATAATATTTTTTTAATTAACATAGAATTCCTAATTAATTGAAAAGGGCTATGATAAGTTCTGATAAATCATTAGCAAGATCAATATGATTACATATTCATAGTACATATAACTAAAAATGATCTCCTCATTGGTCTCTCACCATTTTCTCATCATTTTCTCTAAACTAATCAAAGTTGAAGCAAAAAACTCACGAATACGACATCATATACACAATAATACAAATAATAACATGTGATCAATTTTAAACGAATATTTAATAGACAAACGAATCGAATATACATCTGGTCAAATACTAATCGTTAGCAAACTCAAATATTAAAAAAAATATTTGTTTATTGTTAAATGAACTACGGAATCGAATATGACTGAATAGTTATTCGAATAATTATCAAACTATTTGTTAATTATTTGGTTCATTTCCATCCCTATATGTGTTAGCAACTTCCATAATTTGGTGGACTATTTTTAAAATATTGAAGATTTGAGGGACTAATATTAAAATAACCGTTATTTTTTTGTGGGGGCCACTCATTGACAATGTGACTATAATTCACTAATGTTAATTTTTTGTGACGGGCACATTAACATTGGCGACAGAATAAAGCCGTCGCCAATGCTCATTGGCGACAGTCACCCGTCGCCAATACTTAGCGACGGGCGTC